AATAGTTTCTCTTATTGATGGTATTCATATTCAATGAGTTATATCTACTCCAAAAATATCTATTCTTATTATATTGAACTGCCTTATATCCTATAAAACATTATGGTCTTATCATATTTTATACCGATCCTATTAGTAATTAAATCCCACGCAATCTTTATCAATTATAAAAAAATTAGTAATTGTCTATGTCTAAAAGTATTATATTTCTCATAAAAAATTGTATAAATAATACAGCTTTAATAATACAATGATCAGATTGACATGTATGCAGAATATATATATATAATTAAACCTTTATAAAAAGAAAATTACGTTATAATTACTGCAACATATTAATTCCAACATTTGATTTATATGTTCCTTCAAACTTCATATCTTTTTTACTTTGGAAGGTTTTTTTTGTTACAACGAACACAGAACAAACTTCGGTTCACGAAGCCTATCATGTGAAAAATCCTCCCATCCAATTTTAATTTTTGAATTGGCCCAACTTATTTAGTGGTCAACATTTAAGATGATAAGGAAAGGTTTTAAGACTAGACACGTTGAACACACAAACACCGACCTCACAAAGTGGTCCTTGACAACTTTGCTCCACCTACCAGACTAAGGATCGTTAATACAAGAGGCTGGTCAACGATCGTTGGTGACTGACCCAGGTAAAGTGAATAGACAAAATTGGAAAAATGAAGAGAAATACATATAATAATTTCATTAATTTTTAAGAATATGATGATATTTTTCCCTTTAAAGATTTAATAATTATATTTTATTATTTTTTAAATTTAAATTTAAATTTGTCCTCATTTAAATTTGAGTCTCTCCATTGAAAATGTCTATAAATTTTGACCATTTTTTTTACTCAAATTTAAGTAAGGATTTGAGTTTTCATTAGAGATGACTTGATGAACGAAACCATGAAAATACCCTTACCAAAAGGATAAACAAAAAATACTTTAAATTACATAAGGTTTTTTTCGACTTAAAAATGACTAGGGTGATAAGCCTATTTTGTATAGTTCTAGTTGGATAAATAATAAAAATAATATCTAAACGGAAAAAAAAAGAAGAAGATGGATAAATAATACGACATCGTTCAAAAGAAGGGACGATGTTAGGAATGTTTATGGGTTGGGCTGGGCTGAGCTAGGGCTATGAATTTTTTTTGAGTTGGGTCTGGGTAAAGTAAACCCAAATCTTTACTCGATTGAGTTATCGATCGAGCCAAACAAGAATAGGAGCAAACTACCAGCAACTTAACCCGTCACTCACGGAGCGGGGCTTGCGGGTAGACCTTTTTTTATATACATCTTCATTTAAAAAATTTTCAACATAATATTTTTATAAATTATATTTTTAAATTAAAAGTAGAGTCAAAATATACAAAAAATAAATAATGAATGATTTTATTTGAAAGGAATTATTTAGTATTTAAGTAAAAATTATAAATAATACCCTAGATTACTCAACTTAGTATTTAAGTAAATAATATTTTTGTGAGATGAATATACACCTAACTTTTAATGATCAATTTTTTTTTCAAACAATGTGGGTGAACAAGCGGACAAACAAGTTTTTAAGCCAAGTTTTAGGGGAAAATTGTGAAAAAGTATACCATTTAATATTTATTTGTGGAAAAATATTTTATTATAAAACATATGTGTATAAGTATTTTTGTGTATAAATGTTTGGTGAGGAAGTATACTTTTGGTAAATTGTAATTTTTTCATTTATAAAATTGCTCTTTTCTTTCATTAATAGGAGACAAATATAACAGTTATATTAGAGATTCAATTTTCTATTTTTATGCTGTGTTATTTTTGAACTTTGAATTACCTCTTCCTCCTTCATTTAACAAACGTTTTCCTTCTCCATTCTATAACCCATGTTTTATACATTTTGTAAACGTTTTATTGAAACATTCATATGCTAGTCGGCTGTGAGTTAAGTACATTTTTCATAAAAGGTTGACTTTTCCATTTTGTAATCGGGTTTTGATATATCTTCTAATTAGTTGTAATAGAAGACGTGCGTCAGGTATGCTTTTCACACTGCTACAAATTTTTTTTAAAAAAAATAAATAAATTATAATGATGAATATATGTTCTAAATTATTTTTTCATAAAATTTTGATAGAGTATACAATCATTTTATTATATCGTTATAGGAATAAGTTGTTAATTATCCTTGTTTCAATGTATTCACCATTTNTATTATATCGTTATAGGAATAAGTTGTTAATTATCCGTGTTTAAATGTATTCACCATCTGACGTGGGCTCCAATCAATTTTTTATTTGTAGCCTGCTATCAAAGGTATCTACTACATTGCCGTGCTCTCATTTTCTAGTGTGCTATATCTCTTGTTCCATAGGTATAAATTAAATATATCGATAAAAAAAAAGAATATAAAAGAAAGTTCTATACAAAAGAATTTTCAAAGAGATTCTTCCGTCCTACCGTTGAATTAAAAAAAAAAAAATACCCCAAATTTGTTAGTTAGTTTGTAACTTCAGTTTATTTGGATAAATTTTTTTGTTTAACATTTGTTTTTCTCTCATTTTACAAAAATACTAAAGTGATAAAAATTTGAAAAATCAAATATGTGATCCAAATAATGTGACAAATTCACACAACTAACGAGATATAATTGAACCCCTTATTTACTAAGTTTTGTCCTTAATCGTCTGTCTGGTAATAATAATAGAAAAAAGAAGTGATAAAATTTGACTTTTCATTGTTCAAGAAAAGAAAAATACTTTTACTCTTTTTTGTTTGGTACGAAAATTGAAAAATAAAGTTGATAATTTTTTATTATTTTATTTGACATAAGAAGTAAAAAGGATAAAAAAATACTTTCAAATAATTACCTTAATATATTTACGATTATCTGAAAAAAATTTGAGATTATTTGTATTCTTTAAAAACTCTCGCCAACGTCACCATTCTTGGCTCATTATTGGTCAAATCACTTGTGCACTAGGTTTAATGTGAATTGAATCACTTAATCATGTTTCATCGTTGAAAAAAAGAGGACATTGATTTTATTGACAGTACATGCCAAGCAGATGCTGTTGGAGAATTAGCACCATTGGGAGGGGGTGTTGGTGTACCCACCAAAGAAGTAATTATGATTTGGATTGATAATTAAGGAATTTTTTACATTGACTGTCAATTATTTGATAATTTATGATTCCACGTTAGGGTTCGACGGTGGTGGATGATACTTTTACACATAAAATTACGGCCACAAACAGTGCCCTTTTACTATGCCAAATTAATTGAATTGTAGAATTGGAAAATTGGGGGTGATCTTGGTGTAACAGTAAAATTATTTTATTGTAATTTAGAAGTCACGTATTTGAGTCGCAGAAATAAACTCTCTGTTTTTAAGGATAAAATTATCTCACCCAAACCTCCGACTGCCGGAAGTCTCGTGTAATTGACACACTCTTTTATAAAATCAAAAAATTATCTTAACTTAATTATTCGGGTGGTCGTAACTTAGAATTCGGACTAATTTTTTTATTGGATTTGACTCTTTACGTCATCATCTTCATGGTGCATTATAATCGCTTTGATTTGGACCGCACTAATTTGTCCACTTGTACATAGTAAATGACAAAAAGAGTGGAGCCCATAATTATTTTTTTTCCCAAATTGGTGATTCTAAAATCTGAACCTTTTACTAAAAACAAAAATTGAACCTTGAGGCTAAAATGGTTTTAGGCAACTTTTGCACCATGCATCAATTCTCCTTCCAGTTTCGCCCATTTTTTGAGCGATTAAAAAGAGTAATACTAGATGAACTTAAAAATTAGACTTGATAATCTTAACCATTGAATAGGTAGTGGGTCCCAATAAATGCTAAGACTCACAGTAAAATTAATGGTTATAATTATCAAATCTAATTTTTAAATCTACTTTTTAAGTCCATCTAGCATTACTCGATTAAAAATGCTGGAAAGAAAAAATGCATTTTCCACCCTTTTTTCCTATTTTTTCATTTTAATTTTTCTTGTTCACCAAACCATTCCGTCCTCCTAATTTTTCGTCAAACCAAATAGCCCCTAAGTGCAATTATTGGGAAGAAAATAGAGGCGGACCCGGTGCACTACTAGTTGCCGAAGCAGTGTGTTTTGTTGAAAATTTTGAGTTCAGTTATTTCTTTTGCTTTTGCTTTGTGTTGTACTGAATTTTGACGAGTCTAAGAACTCATTTGACTTTTGAACCCAGTCTTTAATCCGTCTTATTATTCTATTTTTCGCCGCAATTTGTGTTATTCTTCTTGTTTGGTGCGATCATTATCAGAGCTAGAGTTTTGAAATTTGAGAGTTGTGTTGAAGTTAAGTTTTAAAATTTGGGGTTTTTTTTTTCTTGTGGTGTTCTTGGATGTAGAGTTGCTAGATTCAAGCATCTATGACAAGAAATCCTAGGTGTGAACATAATCTAAATGAAGCATTGACCAACACAATACTAGTCGGAAGAAAGATGATACTTTGCACTGGAGGACGGTTTACTCGTGTGAAAGACATAGCTTTCCAAGACTGAAATCTATTGTTGACGGAGAAAAAAGCTCTAATACAAGTAAGGGGAAAAATTGATAACCCTTCAAGGATCAATGCCATGGCATTAGAAGAAATTCTTCAAGTGGATTCCTTCCGGTCTACTTCTTTTATGATCTCATTGGAAATCATATAAATACAACTCCTATTTGATATAATTATTTGTGCAAGTATTTTATGATGAAAAAGTAACTGTCTCTTGTACGAATCATGAATAAATCTATTATAACTATAGAAAATCCCTTTTTTTTGGCGAATTATTGCATATAACACGGAAACAATTCCAAATTGACATAATTTAAAATTATAACGGCTCAAAAAAAAGGAACAATCACAAAACATGAGAAGTTGATACCGAAATATATGTAATTATTTGTCAAAATACAATAAAACCACCCTCCAAAATATTTTAGCAATCAAACTTGTTCTACTCTTAACGTCCCACGCTAAGGAGTGATTCAGTAACAGACATGGTGTTAGCAGAAACACTCCCCGAGGATGATGGAGGGAATGTCATTGCAAATTCATTTGAAATTTCATTCCCAAATAATGCAGCCATGCCAGCACCTGCAATATCCGTAAATACTTCGGGCAAGATAGCTTCCCCATCCAAATACTGCATCACTTGCCTCATGCTAGGCCTAGTCACCGGATTATAGTGCGAGCAAAGCAGACCTAGCTTCAAAACCAACTCTATTTCCTGTACCAAAAAATCACCTCCCAATCTCGTATCAGTTGTCTCAAGAATTGTTCCTTCTTGCCATTTCTCCAAAACCCACTGAACCAAACTCATATCATCAATCAATCCCTGTACCTTTAGAGGTCTTTGTCCGCAAGCTACTTCGAGCATAAATGCCCCGAAAGCAAAGACATCTGTGCTAGTAGTTGCCTTGCCAATTCTAGCAAGCTCTGGTGCAATATACCCATAAGTTCCAACAACATGGGTTGTTTTAAGGTTTTCTCCGTGATCATACAATCTAGCAAGCCCGAAGTCTCCTAGCCTTCCATTGAAATTGGCATCCAAAAGGACATTACTTGCCTTGACATCTCTGTGAAGAACAACTTTTTCCCACCCTTCATGCAAATATAGAAGGCCTGATGCTATCCCTCTAATGATTTGATAGCGTTGAGCCCAATTAAGGCTTGGTTTTTCATTGGTGTGTAAAAACTTGTCAAGACTGCCATTGGGCATATAATCATAGACCAACAGAAACTCTTCCTTTCTCCGGCAATATCCCACTAGGCCCACCAAGTTCCTATGTCTTAGCCTACCCATGCTAGCAATTTCAGCCACAAATTCCTTCATCCCTTGTGTTGAATCATGGGAGACTCTTTTGACTGCTACATGTGCATTGGAAGAAGGAAGTACCCCTCTGTAAACCTGTCCAAAACCTCCTACTCCAAGAAGCTCTTTGTGGTTGAACCCATCGGTTGCTTTGTAGAGATCCTTGTAGGAGAACCTCTGAGGCCCATATTCCAATTCCCAATCCTCGAGTATTTCTGCATACTTTCTTCTCCTTTGTATGTGAGCAATCCCAGCTATAGTGATGATCAGCACAACCAGTACTGTCGAGGCCGAGATTGCAACATCTCGATGTAATTTTCTTTTGGATTTTCTGGGCCAGGGAACAGAAGGAAGTTTTGATAGGTCTAGGCTTTGTGCTGGCCCAGTTTTGTTGAAGCTCCACCCCAGAATGTCGTGGTTGCATTGCGTAATTGTTCCTGTAGCTGCAGAGAAACCAACATACATAGAGTTCAAGAAAACTGAAGAGAGATCAATGGAAGCCGACAAGAGAGGTAGATTTGGTTTCGCGATTCTGATGGGAGCTAGTGTAACGATGATAATCTTTTTCACTCCATCATAATCTATCCAAACCTGCGTTGGGGTTTTAGTTGTAAGATCCAAGCTCTTGTTGATCCCTTCTGTATTGGAAAAATATGACGCCGGAGCGGATACAAAGGATATTAGACCGTTCACATCAATTCCAACATGATTGGTGTTTATATCTTTCATTTCAGGGTTCATAGTAGTATCAAACTCAACTGCAAATACATGGTTGGAGGTAAGGCCGTTGTTCGAAGAATTGAAAACTCCCAGAAACTGCTCAGGCATGCCTTGCTGGGTGAAGCCCAGAGATGGTGAGATGGTGAAGGCAAAGCCGACGCCGGGAGGATATCTCTGTGTAGGAACAGTGGCGAAGATGAAATAGGTGGAAAATGAAAGAGACTGAGCCGACCCAGATGAAGAAGACGTGTGAAATTTCACAGGAATTTGGTAGAAGGCATGGCCAGTATCTTGCTTTGAAGTGTTGGTTATCTGCAATAGGCCATTGGAAAGGATCGCAGCGCGACCATCAAGGTACAGTTTAGCTCCACGGAAGCCATGGTAGATGAACTGGTTTTCATCTTGAGCCAAGGCTAAGAGTATTACGGATATAAGGAGGAATATCATGAGACTAATAAGCGACCATGGAGCCATTAAAGAAGTGAGAGAAGGTTTCTTCTGTCTTGAAAATTTAATACTTTGAATGGCCAAAATGTTGATCTGATCAGATTAGCCTGTATCATTTGATGAGTATGAGTAAAATATTGGGCGTAATGATTACGCAATATTGTTAGCTGCTGCAATCCTTCGATGATAATTCAGGACCTCACCTTTTTATATAAAATAATAATTGTCACATATTTAAAAAATATAGTTCAATTGCCGACAATTATACCTAATATTTTAAAAAATGGGATCCACTTACTAGCTAACAATGCTATGTTTACCATATTATTTACCAATTTTTGTATCACAAATTAGATGGTTAGATTAGTGAGATCCATTAATTTTTATCAACTATTCAATGTATAGAATTTTAATACGTCAATTAAAAAATAACAGTCTAATGAATAAATTTGAAAAGGACAGTTTCATCTCTTAGTATTATTTTCTAGTGCCGTGAGATGTGGGAACCGAAGAAGTCATATAAAGACTAAGACTAAGACTAATTGGTCAATCTAATAGTGCGGTGAGAAGTGGGAAGAAGTCATAAAGACTGGCACCTATGGGTCAATCTACATTCTCCGAGAATATGAGGCCGTCGAATATATATTTTTCTTAGTTTTTATACATTATAAATTAAATTACTAGTTGGGAAAATGCAGTGGTGTTAAGTCGGGTTCAAATCATATTCTTTTATATTCATATCGAATATTAATTAATTTTAATTTAATTTATTTAATTAATTATGTCAAATGTTCTGATACTAGCTTGATCACTTGATTTTTGGAATGGCGTGTTCAAGTTGATCCCTATATTTCTTAAATTAAAAATCTAATGCTAAGATTGGATTATTTCTCAACTAAACTATAACTCATTTTTTCATAGGCTTAAAATCTATTTAAATAGAAATAAAATTTTCTTTTAGTANATTGGATTATTTCTCAACTAAACTATAACTCATTTTTTCATAGGCTTAAAATCTATTTAAATAGAAATAAAATTCTCTTTTAGTATAACTAATGTAAATATGTGATAAAAATAATAAAAATTAATCATTTTATTCATATAATACTAATTAAATGTCTATCATATCAAATTTAGGTTATTTATATTTGATAATAAACTGTCACACTTATTATTCATTTTATTAAGCCTTATTATTATGAGTTCATATCAAAACTAGTTAAGCTTAACCTATTAAATTCTTGTCAATTTTGAATAGTTTTGACGTATCATCTTTAAGCAAATTTTTCAAATATTCTCACTTGGATTTACATAAGAATGTTCTACTTGACTGGACTTATCTTTCCTCATCTAATACAAAAAAGGTATAATTAATAATAATATCTGAGTTATATGAAATACGCTTTTAGTCCATCCCGTGCAAAACCCAGGAGGCAGAGAGAGTAAGTCAGTAGTTATGACATCTCTGACGCATCAATCAGCTAAGGGTACTGGTGGTTGTAAAAGCTCAAAGGTGAATGGGGCATCTTTGTGCTTCTCCCATGAAGTGAAAACTAGAAAATTTGACATGACATTTGCTTTAGCTCATGAGCTCAAGAATAATTATTAATTACATCTCCAAATCATATGTTAGTTCAGAAATTCACATCGGATGCACGTCAAAATACACGCAATCACTTATTAATCGTATATGTCGAATAAATTTTATACAATCAAACAATTAAAACTTTAGATGTGTGAATTTACATGGACTTTGACAAGCAAAAAATTTGGTATTATAATTTTAAATTTTATTATTTTAATAAGTATTTTTAAATAGTTATTATTTTTTATAAATAATTTATCACATTTATAGATATTTTTGTTATTATTGTGGGTATTTTTATCATTATTTTAGCAATTATATTTACTACTTTTTTTATACAAAAATATATTATCACTTTTGTTAGTGATTTATTACATTTATGATAGTTTTTATAATTGTTATAGCAATTATTTTTATTATTATTATTTTAATAACATAATAATAATAAAAATATTTATAAATATGATAAAAATTGGTATCCAAAATTTTATTTTTCAGTATCGTAGACAAGTACATGTAACATTATTAATTGGTTAAGACTTGCCGGTAGAAACAAGTGAAGTCAGTCTTTGAAATTCTTTTAATGAGGGTACCGCACCTCATTGACTTTAACCAGACTTGGAAAATTCGAAGATATCGGCGGCGACAGGTTTGAAAATTGAAGTTGAAAAACATGCCTCTGTCCCTCTCTGCCTTCTGGGGTTTGCACTTGATGGACTAAAATAAGCATAAATTCCGAATTATTGATACTACTTTTAAGTATAAATTTGAATTTGTTAATTTCGCTTTTACATGAAATTAAATTTCATATTTTTACTTATAAAACAATCGTAATTTAATAAATAAATTTAAAACAATTATAGATTGGTAAATGAATTTCAATTTTACTGTATTTTGGTCATAAATTCTCCATCCAAGTGTATATATATATATTAAAAAATTTCCCCAATGTTCTTTTGGGATTTTTTTTTGTAATTTTGTTATCAACTTTCATTCCAATTCTCCATAGCGATTTTCCTTCCCCGTCTTCCGTCGGTGTCTGCTGTTCTCATCGTTTCACCGGACCTTGAGTTGCCCTACCCAAACAAACTTGTTTGCCTAGTTGGGCTTAATGCATCCCCGGTTTAGAAATTCTCCATAGTGATTTTCCTTCCCCGTCCTCCTTGAACTATGCATCATCCCCACCAAAAACATTTTCCAATTCCACTTCTCCTTCTTCCCTTACCCACATCTTCTCTCATCTGACCATTTATTCCCAGATCCCCAATTTTATTGCCCTTGGTTCATCGATCCTAGGTCTACCCACCCACCTATGTTTCTTCCCCTTTCCCATTCAATATTACATCTGTAGATTCCCCACCATCAATACCTTCCATCTTACGCCATTAATGATTCTCCACTCTCTATCCACCACAAGATCTAGCCAAAAATATGTCTAGCCTCTTTGAAAACCCAAATCTCTCAAATACGGATAACATACCAATCCCCTGCCCACCGAAGGACCAAGAGGTCAACCCAAAAGCCCCTCAAGCATGCTCACCTTCTGGGTCCCAATCCTTGGGCATAGAGCTATCTCTATCAAGTGAGGGTACTTGCGCAACCATTCCATATGGAGCTAGAATTTTCACACAATAGATTTGTACAATCTCTAGTGGGAATCCTCAAAATGGTCTAGACATGCACAAGGGAGACTCGAGCTAAAAGCCAACCGAGATTACCAGCTCTTTGGCAACAGATGCTAGCCCACAGGTAAACCCATTTCCTTGCACTACTTCTAATTTCGTTTCTGAATCCTCTATTAGGAGTAAGGAAGGTGTGACCCATGTTTTGCCAAGTGAGGTGAGGCCAGAATCTTTGGTCACCACAGTACCAATTGAACAATTACCTCGTGGTGAGGGTAGATTGAAACAAGCTACCTCCTGGAGCCAAGTTGTCAAGAATGGAGTGGGCTTGGACTCAAATTTTGGTGGATCAGCTAATCATAAAGCCATGTCCCTAAAATTTGTTGAACCCATTAGGGATGCTCAAATGATTGTGGTCTCACCCCCGAGGGATATAGCAGCAAAAGGTTGCAAGGAGTGTGAAGCATGCCTTGTGGGATACTTTATTGATAGGAAATTTCCCTTCTCGGTGGTCAAACAGCTTGCCTTTAGGTTATAGAATAGACTAGGACTCACTGAAGTCTTGGCCAATGACACTGGGTTCTTCTTTTTCAAATTCAATGATGAAGTAGCTAGCTCCAAGGTGCCTGAAGAAGGTCCATGGATGTTTTTTGGGAAACCAATTTTACTCAAAAAGTGGCACCCAAACTTCGTCTTGCCAAAGATACACATTCCAGGATTCCAGTGTGGATTAAGCTTTACGACATCCCACTGGAAATACTGGAATGAAGAGGGATTAAGTTGCATTGTTAGTGCTATTGGTAAGCCCTTTTATGCTGATTCCCTCACTGTATCTAAGCAAAGGATCACCTATGCCAGATTATGTGTTGAACTAGAAGTAGAAAAGGAGGCCATTGAATCTTTTGACCTTAGTATGAAGGGCATTGATGATAATGAGGATGAAGAGGTTATTGAGATTGCTATTGAATATCAGTGGAAACCTAGGATATGCACAAAATGCAACGTGTTTGGACATAGTAACTCTAATTGTCCTACGGGTACTACTAAGAAAGTATGGAAACAGAAGACACCTTTAGAAAAGGGCAATGGAATGGCTACTAATCTAGTTATAGCAGAATAGAGTCAAGAGTAGAATCAAGAGAATCTTAATAAATGTAGTACAAGCTCAAATGTCCCCCATCTTACATTGTTTGAGTTATCTCAACAGTCTCAAGAGGAGATTCTTGCTCCTACTGGGAATGTGGTAATCCAGACCTCTTCCACTCTTAAGGCTCCTGTTAACATTACGACTTGCAATAAGTTTGCTAGCCTTGTGGTGGACCTTTCTAAGAAGCAGATGAATAAAATGGAGAATTCAGCTTCCCTGGTGAAAAGCCTCCTAAGTAGCAAAATGAAGAACATTGATGGAATTCCAATTGGTACAACTAGAAAGAAGAAACAAAAGCAAAAATCTCCTAACCAAGGGAAAGTTGGGGTTCCTAAAGCCCAGGGTCAAGGTTTACCCAAACCTAAATGATCAATCTATCTTGCTGGAATATTACGAGTCTTAACTACACCCTTAAACAAATGGAGATTAGGAAATTAATTTTTGAACAACAGCTTGACTTGGTTGGTATAGTTGAAACCAAGGTTAAGGCTATTAATAAGGATGTTGCCAGAAGAACCATCACTAGAGATTAGTGCTGGTGTGATAATTACAACAATCACACACTGGGTAGGGTATGGATTAAGTGGAATCCTCAAAGCATCAGTGTACAAAAATTAGCTGAAATGGACCAAGCTATTCATTGCAAGGTCACTCATCATGCAAGCATGACATCATTTGTTCTTACTATAGTTTATGGTTCTAATGATGATATAGAGAGGATAAGGCTTTGGAGGGACATGGAGGGTGTATCAAGAACTACTATTAATGATCTCTGGATAATCCTTGGGGACTTTAATGTGGTTAGATCAGTTGAAGAAATTCTTGGTGGCTCAGCTAGGAGGACCTTGGCCATGGATGAGTTTGAAAATGTCATTCACGTAGTTGAGATCACTGACTTGAGATACTTGGGTGTTCAGTTTACTTGTGTAATAATAGGGGTTCAGGCTGTACTGTTAGGAAATTGGACAGAGCTATGGTCAATAATGCTTGGATTCTTAAATTCTCAATGGTAGTAATTGAGTTTCCTCCTGCTGATATTTCTGATCACAGCCCAATTATGGTTAAAACGGGGAATGATATCAATGCTAAAAAATGCCCTTTTAAGTTCTTCAATTTCATTGCAGAGAGGGAGGATTTTCTTTCCATTGTAAGTAATGTTTGGCAAGCTCAAGTTAGGGGAACTATTCAATTCCAAGTCAACCAAAAGCTAAAGCTCTTGAAAGTTTAGTTTAAAAAAATCAACAAGGAAAAAGTTGGTGGTGTTACTATTAAGGCTATTGAGGCAAAAGAACAACTTTCAGCTTGTCAAAGTTAGCTGGTTACAAACCCACTAGACCAATCACTTAGGATTCTTAAAAAAGAATTGGTGGAAAAATGCTTTGAGGCCTTAAAGATTGAGGAAGATTTTCTGAGACAAAAGTCTAGAATCCAATGGTTAGATTCAGGTGACAAAAACTCCTCATTCTTCTTCAAATCCATCTCAAGCATAAGAAACAATTCCAAGATTATCACCATACAAAGACAGGATGGGTCTTTTGCTAAAGGATATAAGGAAATTAAAGATGAGGCAGTGAATTTTTTCCAAAACTTGATGGGCAGGAGAAGCTCTCAGGATCCTTGCAGAGCTTCTGCTATACAAAATATTTTGCAAAGCACCATTTCAAGGGAGCAAGCTCAGATCCTTAGTAATGAAGTTACTGGGGCTGAAATTAAAGCAATTTGCTTCTATCTCAATCCTAATAAAGCTCCAAGTCCTGATGGGTTCAATGGATTATTCTTCCGAAAGGCATGGTCAATCATTGGTGAAGACATTGTTGCTGCCGTTAAAGAATTTTTTGCCACAGGTCAGCTTCTTAAGGAATTGAATGCTACTATTATTGCTCTTGTTCCTAAAGTCTCCAACCCCACAAGCATGTCTGATTTTAGACCTATCTCATGTTGTAATACCCTCTATAAGGTAATCTCCAAAATTATTGCAAATAGGCTTAAAATTCTTCTTCCCCATGTGATCAACCCATCTCAAACTGCCTGTATAAAGGGTAGAGGAATTGGGGACAATATCCTCCTGGCCCAGGAACTGCTTAGGAACTATCATAAGAATGATGGGGCCCCCAAATATGCTATCAAGGTTGATTTAATAAAGGCTTTTGACATGGTTGACTGAGATTTCTTGCTTGATGTGCTAGCTGCTCTTAATCTTCCCAGAATCATGGTCAAATGGATTAGAGAATGCATTACAACTCCTAAGTTTTCTATCGATATTAATGGGGAATTAGCAGGGTATTTCTCAAGTAGTAGAGGTCTTAGACAAAGAGACCCAATGTCTCCTTATTTATTTGTCATTGTTATGGATGTGCTGTCAAGAATTCTTGATCAAGGCATTCAAGATAAGCCTCAGTTTAAATATCATTGGAGATACAAAAGACAAAAGATTTCCCAACTTTGCTTTGCTGATGACTTAATCATGTTATGCCATGGGGACCCCAAATCTGTCGAAGTTCTTAAAAAGGCGCTTGATAAATTCCAAATGTTATTTGGTTTAAAGGCCAATCCTTCCAAAAGACACATCTTCTTTTCAGGTGTTCTTGATGAGCAACAACAGTTGATGGCTGGGTGTTTCGATTTTCCCATTGGCTGACTGCCTTTGAATTATCTTGGATCCCTATTGTTACAACTAAGCTTAAGATGCATGACTGCTCTTTGTTACTTGAGAAAGTGGATTCAAGGATTATTTCATGGGTTAATAGAGTTCTGTCTTATGCTGGAAGACTTTAGCTCATTAAATCTGTGTTATGTAGCATTCAGGTGTATTGGGCTAGTCATCTTATGCTTCCTAAGAAGGTCCTCCATGCTATTGATCAGAAACTAAAGGTTTTTTTTATGGTTTGGAACTGATATGAAAACAAAGGGGGCCAAAGTTGCTTGGAGTGAGGTATGTGTACCTATAAAGGAAATGGGCTTAGGATTGAAAGATTTAAGGGTATGGAATAAAGCCCTCATGCTCAAGCATCTTTGGCACTTAATTTCTGACGAGAACAACACTTGGACCAGCTGGATCAAGGACCACCATCTTAGAGGCAAGAGCATTTGGGAAGCCAAATCATCACAAGTTTGCTCATAGAACTAGAGGAAGCTGCTGCAAGTCAGGGAATTAGCAAGACCTTTCATTCTTTATGTTATTGAAAATGGTAGGAGTACATTTCTCTGGCATGATTTTTGGCATCCTAACGGTCATCTCCTTCTTAAATGGGGTCCTAGAGTGATTTATGATTCTGGGATCCCTAAGAATGCCAAGGTTGCCTCCATTATCCAAGGTAACTAGTGGAGGTGGCCTTTAGTCAATCCTAGAAACTTTAGATTTATTGAGGAGATCATCTCTACTATGCCCAATTACTCCCCAAAAATGGAACAAAGGATGAGTTCAAATGGCTTCCCCAAGTAAATGGAAAATTCTCTACTTCTTCAGCTTGGAATCTAATCAGGACCACCAAACCAGAGGTGTTGTGGTACCATCTTATTTGGTTCAATCTATGCATTTCTAGATCCAGCTTTATCCTTTGGCTTGCTATTAGGTGTAGACTGGCCACAAAGGATAGAATCCATAGTTTTACACCCAATAGTGGAACTACTTGTGTGCTTTGTAGAGCTGATCAAGAATCCCACTCGCATCTTTTCTTTGAATGATCTTACTCAGAGAGTGTTTGGAGGAATGTCATCAGTAAGTGTGATTGGCTATGGTGATCATCTTCTTGGCAGAGTCTCATTGAGGCTATGTCCACCCAATGGAATGACAAGAATCTGCAGAATTCCATTAGAAAACTTTGTCTTGCTGTCACTGTTTTTGTTTTATGAGGTGAAAGAAATCATAGGATTTTCACCAATGAGTATAAAGATCCAGGTACTACCCAGTTAATTGTCTTGAATATGGTGAGAAGTAGGCTCCTCTCAATCAAAATCAAGGACACTCCTCTTCATAGACTGACTGCTTCTCCTTGGCAATTTCCAGGCTCTTGTTTTTGCACATAATGTAATTTTTGTTCGCTGTTTATAGGCTGTGTAGTCTGTGAGGAGTGCAAAATGCAGCCCTCCCAGACTTCCTCTACCTACTTTTGATGGAATGACTGCAGGCTGTTGCTGTCTTCTGCATGTTTCTTTGTTTTGGTCTTTTCCCTTAGGGGTTGAATGATGCTCTGTACATTTGCTTTTCATCAATACAGCCTCCTATTTATTTACCCAAAAAAAAAAAAGACTTTCATTCCACTTTCTAAAAGTACAAGTATTTCTTTCCTATGAACTTTTGCAAACGAGAGTTCAAGATTGGAATCTTGTAAGAAATAGGCCCATATGTGCCTTCTTTTAGTAGTTAATCGGACAAAGATGCAAGCTCCATTCGATCGGTTAAAGATTCTATTCATTCCCCTATTAAGTCAAGAGGGATCGAGATTCAAGTAATCGTAATTTCCTATCACTCATTCAAGCTAATTGCATTTCCTCAATTAATCTCTTCCAAATCGGTTTGGCACTTTGATATTGACTAACTCTTCTGATATTAAATTAATTGTCATGTGTTTAAAAGGAATTCATCGTATTGAGATGGGAGAATTTACTGCTAAAAAAATGAATTCTTTATATAAATTCTAGTGTGCCCGTGGTCTTTTTTGACAGTTGGGATACAAAGAGATTCTTTTTTATTTTTATTTTTTATCAGAACAAATAGAGTAAGCATTTCATTAAGTAGAAAAATTGAGATTACAGTCAGTCAAAAGAAAAGCCGTAAGCTCAGGAGGGGGGAGCCTAACCAATTCAAGGAGAGCGAATTGTTTAACATAGTGGCTACAACCCAATGTGCAGCCTTGTTACAGGCTCTAGACTTGTGTAAAAAGCTAGGATTGTATAACCTAGCATAATGTCTAATGCCTTCAATGATAACATTAACTTTCCATGGGGGAACATCCTCAGTGGAGCAAAGCTTGATTATGTTGAGACAGTCATTCATGACAGTGGCGTTAGTGATCAGCAAGGAGGCAAGCTTGTCTTATTGCCTCTGCTTCAGAAAGGATACTAGACACTGCTAGGAAGGATTTTGCACTGCCAAACTCAAGTTCTCCCCTTTCCTTGAAAATAATCACTCCACATGCAGCCATGGCTAAGATAGCCTTAAAAGCTCCAAGTGACGTGATTACTTAGAGAATGAGAGGAAAAGCATATTGGATGGATCCATCACACTTTGTTCTTCAAGCCTCTTGAGGGTTTTTTTTTGGGAGGGGTTCTGCATTGTGCCCTTGGAATCAAGCAAATATTCAAGATATTAGCATAACTCAAGATTTATGTGACTTTTGATGATGCATAAAATAGTTTCGTGCAAAATC